TAAAAGGAAAAATAATAGAAAGCGTATTGTAATTTATATATATTTTTATATGAAATAGGAATGCATGTTCCACTTGAAAAATTCAACAGACTGGCAAAATTGAAAAAGCCTGTAGGCGCAATTTTTCGAGTTTGGCTAATTATTTCTTAATTACACATATTGTACCTACTTAAGAATAACAAGTAGATTTATAATTGACTCCATATCGTTGCGTACTTTTATCGTTCTTACAGACACACGGCAAGAATTGAAGCTATTCGTTAAATACCCGTTTTTTAATATTATAATCTTATTATTGCTATATCGGTTTGAAAGGGGATTTGCGAATTATTCAGTTTTCCTTAGCCTTTTCGACAAGTGTCCAACAAACAAGCTTTGAGCTCCACAAACAAGCAAGCTTTAACTCCATTTCCTTTTTTTCAGTGACGTTGTCCTATTATTCATTTTTGGCAAAAACAATATTTTTTTGGTGATTCCTCAATATTCATTTTTGCAATTGTACATGATTTTTTTTTCTGTATTGAACGACAAGACTGTTTAGTCAGTTTCCTGCCCTGGTAAGTGGTATAGTCAGTTTCTTGCCCTGGTAAGTGGTATAGTCAGTTTCCTGCCCTGGTAAGTGGTATAGTCAGTTCCCTGTCTGGTAAGTGGTATAGTCAGTTTCCTGCCCTGTTAAGTGGTATAGTCAGTTTCCTGTGGTACATTACATTTTCAACAAGACGGGTTTGTGCTTTAATTGAGCAGTCAACTTTGCTATGATTGTCTAATCGCCTTTCTGTAACTCTCCAGTTTCGAGGTCTTATGTTCGCGTGGCCTTATCCTCAAAAGCGTGTAAAATATTCTTTTATCATATAATCATCTGTGAAATACCTACATTTCTCCCTTCCAAAAGTTGTTAACGCATTGGAGCTTTCCCTATATATTTTACGACAGTATTTTCCTTTCAAATATAATTATATGATAAACAGAATATTACACGGTCGCTTGAAGATACGAATTTTATCTTCTCGTGCTGAAAATCTTTCACTCGTTCGCTACGCTCACTCTTGATAGATCTTTTCAATACTCAAAGATAATATCAGTATCTCCGTGCCGTCGCCCATGCAATATCCGTTATTTATCATAGAGATATTATTACTGCCCTATTATAAAACAAAGCTTTTGTATGCAGGCCAAACTATATTATAGACTTTTGATGCTTTTACCTCGCCAACTCAGTTTTGAAATAAACAAAAGAAATCCGCCATTTTTTCATCCCCATGCCTATCCTAAAATGCATTGCGCAATCGGTATATATCATAAACACTTCAGAGGTCTATTCAGCCAGTTCAATGAAACGACAAACTGGCATTCCTGCGGTGATACAAAGAAAGAAGGCGGGCATCCTGTGCCAGTGTATTTACTTATCTATATAGTGCTCTGCAGAGGTTCAAAAACATGATTCATCTCAGCTGTGATATTGAAATGATAAAGCTTGAAGGGAACTAAGTAATTGTAAAGAAATATGTCCACTAGTAACATCGTAAATCATTTTTCTCTGTTTAAAAATACTGTTAGCTCAAGTTGAGTTACGCTGCCCTCTCTCTTTCGAATGTCAATTAAAATTGACAGTTGTCCAATCACGACCCGGAATTTGGTTGGTTTGTTGTATAGTTACGTAGTCTACCAGTTATATTGAAWCACAATCTCAATCTAAGACAGTGAATCAAGATGAAGGTCCTTGTTTTGATTGTAATTTCTCTACCCATTGGTAAGCTATCTTTTAAAGTGACATTAATTTGGATACTTTTAGTTGAGAAACATTATAGTTGTGCAATGAGAAGAAGGAATATGAATATTTGGAAAATATTCAAGAGATCTTTTATTGAATGGTCTTCGTTTTTAAGAATTAAGGATAAGAAACACGCGTTCGGCGTGTAAAATCGGCGCACAAAGAAAATTTTACTTTTTCCTTTATTAAACTCATTAACAATACATGAGCTTATAATCCCGGTTGGGGTCAAATGAGCTTTGAATTCCGGAAYGGTGTGAGCTAAACAATAGAAAATAAATGAATTTGTAACTGTTTGTAACTTCACAATTAGAGAGGCAAAATGTAATTGAGTTTTATTCAATGAATGTAATGTGAAACAATAACTAAACTATTTAATGTTTTTAAACTATTAATATAGTTTCTTATTAYAGTCATTGAACTCTTGATTCCAACAACTAGTGTCTTTTAGCTTCGTAACGGTTTCACAATTCGGTGAAAACCATCCTGTGCCAAGAAACACTAATTACCAAACTGCGCAAACTAGTGCAAGGAACCAAGGAAAACAAAAGAACAATCACTAAAGATTAGCTAGAGTCCTAATACATATCGATTTACCGGTCCTTATAATATTGGATTATTAATTAGCTTGGAAATTTTTGATAAGCAATAAAGCGCTGGTACTGGCTAKTTTTTATTCTATTAAAGCAAAGTCAAATACTCATCCATCAAAACGCACCATCGATAAGGGCACATGGCTATTTGCAGTTTGTTGTAAAAATTCCATTGCAATATATTTTTCCTTGAAATAGTCTAAATGTAAATAATTGTCTTCATTCAGGTTAGGGTGGCGCCACCCTCTATATGACAAGTGSCAATAAAAAGATATCAATCTCCTAATCATGTTTCGGCCACATGGTTTAACAATGTGTTCTAGTGTAGGCTAATAAAGTATCAATCAAATGAATTGATTCAGAATTGCACCAGTCGACAGTGAAATATGACGATTCTTGGACTTGCTTTAATTTTCATTCTTTTAAGCATTGGTAAGCTAGAGAGTACACACMGTCTCTATCCTATTTGTGAAATGACATCAATTACTGGTAACTAGAGTTGATCAGACAGTACACTAGATACAAAAATAGTATAATATAGAACAGATAGATCTGCCCTCCTGAGAATTATTGCGTAGGTTATGCAAATTAGCTCTAAAATCTTGCTGTAAATCAGCTTATTGCAGGCATGCTCCTTTGTTTGATGGCACTGATGCAACTTTACCGAAGAACTTGAAGAAAGACTCAGTAATGGACAAGATAGAAAAGATCAACCGCGGTATGACGCAGGATTCTATTCCCCTTTTTCTACTATTATCTTTTTTTAGGTTCCGTATATCCACTTTTTTTTTTTTATTAAATTCTATTTTTTGTCTGTTTTATCTATTGTCTATCACTATAATTAGATACACACAGCTAGCAGCGAAACAACCCATAAATTATTATCTTATCTTGTTTTGTTGTTGTTGTTGTTGTTGTTGTTGTTTTTTGTTGTTGATTTTTTTCGTGTTTTTTTTTTGTTTGGTTTGGTTTGGTTTGCTTTGGTTTTGTTTTATTTAAAGAAACTGAGTAAAAACTTATAGTATACTTTCCAAAAAGGTAAGATTAGACCAACTATGAATGTGGTGGTCGAGAAAAACGAATGTATGTTTCTCCAGATTAATTGTTTGATGCCACTTTTTAACCATTCCAAACCTGATTTGCAGTCCATATGTACATGTAGTAATATTAAAACAGGTTGTCAGAGCTGGACTGCCGTTGCACGAACGAAAGTAATTATGGGTAATATTCACTTTTTGCAGGAATACTTATTCATCTTTTTAAAAAGAAAAACAAACAAAGGAAAACAAACAAACCTTGATCAAAGATATTTATTTAAAAAAAACATTATTGAGGAATTGTATAAGATAAGAGCATATTGTCATTTATATTTTCCACTGCTGTGAAAAGTARCGTTACGATTTCCCCACCTCTCCATTTGTGAGCTCGTTTTCTGGTCTGATAGTATCGAATGAGACACAAACACAAAGTGTATGGAAACGGAATTGGTGTTCACTGTGCCAATGTAGCAATAAATGCTGAAGCATGAACTTACGGTAGGATAAAACTCATGTTACGCCCTATTCCAGCATTGCCTCGATAAAATATAAGATAAGCTAAATATGGACAGTAAAATTACTGTAATGTCCTAAGTACAATTACATTTGTTATGTGAGTACCATCAGTGATGTCGGAAAATAACTATGGTACGATGTCCTCAAAGGCACGTGACCAATGTAAAATTACTAGTGTCCTGCGCATGGCATTTAAAACATAACAATTCTATTTGTGTCAAATATTTAATTTATAATCAATACCCAAACATTTGACTTGTTTATTGTCACTGTGATGTAATCTGATTGTTGTACTTTTTTAGTTTGAGATTTTGGGACGGACTGTGCAGCGGCAGCCAGAGGCGCCAACTCAAGCTCACAATCTACCAAGACTCTCATGTGTTTTGTAGTTGTCATGTAGTTTTAAAGCGCTTAGAACAGAATTGGATAAGCGCTATATACATAGCATTATATTATTATATTATATTACCCAGAGTAATTTTCGATTTTAAACTTGTATGTCAGAATCATTTTTAGCTTATTTTAGATTGTTCTTTCTTTCATTTATTTCTTTTCTTTACTTTTTTTATCTCTCTTTATTTCATTTTTGTTTTGTTTTTGTTCTTTTTTTTTTTTTGGTTTTTGGTTTTGGTTTTTGGTCGGAATATTCAACTAAAATTCATTCACAGATCAAATTAAAGGAAGGGGAAAAAAGGATCAATTATTCGAAATCGACATGAAGTTGTCCTCCAGTCTAAAAGAGGCCGTTAACACCAAAAACACCAGTCGGTCAGACAATGCTAAAGTCAAAGTGGAAAGCGTCACTAGAAGGACAGGAGTACGAAGACGATCTCAAGTGTGGACAACAAGAGTTATTCCTCTCGAAATAACAAAGCCAGTTGGTATGTTTGTTATAACGCTAATAAGTTCACTCAATTAAACCGTAGAATCTTATCCCCGGTCAATATCGGGGAATTGACATTTCAACAATTTTGAAGCACATCCATTTCACAACGCATTTAGATATAGATATTTAAACTAACGTCTTTTCGTTCATTGTTGTGTGAATTAGGCTGGATCATTACAATTAGTTTTTGGCATTAGAGTGAACACACTTAATCCAAGAAGCTTAAATAGTACAAAATAATATTAAATTCTGCTAATTCCTTTGTTTTCTATTGTTAATCAACACTATTTAGTAGTAATTAGTATTATTTGTTTCACGGATTTAATGCGTTCACTCTACTTCTCGTTTTCACGCAACAAGTTTATAGCCTTAAGTTATAGCTATATGAAGTTGAATATTGGATCAGTTATATAGGTTATAGAAGAAAGTCTTTTTAAGATGTGGTTATTAGCTTATCAAATTCCTATTGCTATTAACTTGATTTGCATTGAGTTACGTCCACTTAACATGTACWGCTATAGTTTCAAAAACGAGACTTCGATCTTCGAAGGTCGCACTTCAACGATAACTTTATATTCATCTTAACATTAATGACATTATATTTTTTTTTAAAGCCGACGATGGAGAGAAAAATATTTGGGATGCTACAAAAGAAATAGAAAAGAACTCATGTTTAAAGTTTAGAAGAAAAAAATCTGGCGATAAGAATTGGATTAAGATCATCAAGGGAGAAGGGTGAATTTGATTCATATTCTATATACTAATATGATACTTGCTAAAAAGTTTGCTTATTTAACTCGTACACTGATATGCTGTATATATCGTCAGTGCTTATTGGGCTTGTATCCAGCTAACTGACCATATTGCATAATGACGTCACAGTATGTTTACTTTGTTCTTGAGTCAATCCTCCAATGTGCTTTTTTCTATACATACGTGCAATGCGAAAAGATARAAAGCAAAATAAGGAATTGCGCTATAATCATTATGAACAAGCTGATCAAGAGTTTTTAAAAACTTAGAGTTTAAAAAAACTTATTACTTGGGCAGCGTCCAAATTAATGAACGTAGGAGAGAACGACGTTGAAAATCTTTACAAAACATTTTATTGGAAATGCACAAGTAACTGAGTCTGGTTTTCCTGTGTGAAAACCTTCGTTGCAGCAGTCTATAGTTTTCACCGCATGRAMACCRSAGACTACTGGTAACGCAGTCCAGGTTTATAACTTCATTAGACTATTGATTATTACCGCGTCGTATCCTATAGGTGCTCGTCATTCGTTGGACGTGTGAATATAAAAGACGGTCAGCCTTTGTCATTAGGAGAAGGATGTAACGACAAGGCAGTCGCTTTGCACGAGATATTGCACGCCGTTGGATTTTATCACGAGCAGTCGAGGACAGACCGAGATGATTATATTAACATCTTATGGGAAAACATCTAYGAAGGTAGCTAATTATATCCTTAACTCCCTTTTTATTATTTCATTTAGTTCTTGAAATTTAGGTCCCTCAATTTAGAAGATGAGGTGCCGTCAAACTTCCTTATTGTGTTCATCCAGTCAGTAAATTATGCTTAAATAGACTTAATCGCCTTACGCGCTGCCAAGTATGTTGCAATCCAATTCAATTCCTGATGGAAGAATGTATCTGTGCCGAAATGAAAATGCAACTTACAATGAAACGGAACAGGAGTCCGGTAAAAGAAGAGAAATGTCAAGTTACTTACTTTTTAAAGTAAGTAAAAATAATTAAAAATTGAAAAAATTAAAAAAATTAAAAACTATAAGTCATAAAAAATGTTTTTTTTTAATCTACGCCTTAAATTCCTAATCCAAAATCAGTGGTGGAATCCAGAAACTTGCAAAACTAATTTCCATGGAATCCGGAATCCACTTCGATCTTGGAACCCATTGAATTTGTACTGCAATTGTTATGAATACTAATTCTTGGTTGACTAGTGTTTTTTAAAGACTTTTTTAATTCTCTAGGCGCGGAAGGACAATTCAACAAGATCGGTGCTGAAGAAATGGACATGGTCGGAGGAACGTATGACTATAACAGTATAATGCATTATGGGAATAATGTATTTTCCAAGAACGATAAGCCAACAATGATAGCGATCAAAGATCCAAGTAAAGTATTGGGCACRAAAGGAGCAAAGCTAAATGCTGTAGACATTTTACAAATCAACAATTTGTACAATTGCAAAAGTAAGTTCCATGCCGTKATTGCATTTTAACCTAACGCATCTGATCTTAATATCATAATGAGAAAACGGCATGAACAACCAAAAAAGCAGAAAAAGTCAATAGTCTCCTTCACGGTTACCTGCGCCATCTTGAAAAGTAGCCGTGCCTTGTCATCGAAGCGAGACAACCGTTGAGCGTGCAATGATAGAAACCTTCTTTCACACCTATAGACAATTATTCACAGGTATCTATCATTGCACGCTCAACGGTCGTCTCGCTTCGGTGCAAAGGCACGGCTACCTTTCAAGATGGCGCAGGTATCCGTGAAGGAGACTATT